TCAAGGCTGCAGTGAACTATGATCATGCCACTGCACTCTAGCCTGGTGACAGTGAGACCCAGACTCAATAAAAAAAAAAAAGGCGTGATATGGAAATTCAAAGTGGTCTGAGCTCTCTTATAAAGTAATTATCAATAAAATATTCTCTAGAGCTGTTTGTTACAGGTAACTTGAGTAAGGTGTGGGGAAACACCTATCCTTTCATGGTAGGCTGATCAAATTAAATGTTCTTATACTGAGCTGTGTGAAAAAAGACTCTTATGTATTGGGGTGCAGGAATAAAGAAAGAAGCCTGAGAGTATGGTGTAGCCATCCTGAGGATGGATGTGATGATGAAGATGCCTTTCAGACTTGACTGCTGTTGGTCCCTGGCTTTAGTTTCTTGTTCAGAAGGCCAGCTGGGGGGTTAAGTGGGCTATCCAAATGCCACTTTAACAGGTAGTTGCATGGTAGCGGCTCCAGCTCGTAACTAAGGCTCAGACTTTTAGGTTCTCCGCCCCAGGGAAATTAAACTGTCATTCATTCGCTTCACAAAATTAAAAGAACATGCTGGTAGAGATAAAGGAAACATGTTGATAATGTGTGAGTTGTATAACTTCCTAGAAAGTAATCTGGTATCACTGTTAGGAAATTTTAAATACACATACTTTTTGGCCTAATAATCCCACTGGGTTGCCTCCATTGTGTAGGGACATTGGTATCAGAATTTTTTGACTGTGTTGCTTGTAGTGGCAAAAAAAAGTAGAAGCAATCTGGAAGCCAGTTAGGAAATGATTAAACAGATATGCTCTATCCATTCACAAGACCATTGTGTATCTATTTGAAGGTGAGTTAATTCTATATGTATTGGTCTAGAATGGTGGCCATGTTGTATTATGTGTGAAAAGCATTGTAGAGCTAATATTAATATAGTATGGAGTATGATCTACAACAAAAAGAAAAACAATGTGTGTGTGTGTGTGTGTGTGTGTGTGTGTGTGTGTGTTTGAGAATTGAGTGTAGGGATTCACCTCGAACTTAAAATTTCTTTGCTCAGGAAGTAAGCTTGGAGGTCCAAGTGAATTAACATGCCATTTACAACCATGTTGTTTGATTATCTTAATAATATAGTTTTTGTAGTTTGTTAAAGTTTCTGAAGTTAGGAAAAAAGAGAGGGAAGGGGAGAAAGCTAAGGTGATAGAAATTATACTAGAGATTGCTTTGGGGAGGGTTGATAACTGGGAATGAGCACCCCCCCCAAAATCTCTTGGTGTAGTGGTAATAATCTCTTTCTTGAGCTGGGTGTTGGTTACACAGGTGCATTCACTTTGTAAAAATCCATCTAGTTATATGCTTACAATTTGGTGCCTATACATTGTATCAAAAGTTTATAAAATTAAATTATGGCACAGCAATACAATGAAATACTATTGCTCTCTTAAACTATTTTTCTATAAATATTTAACAATAAATGAAGCAGGAAAAGCCTATTATTGTACAATGTAATAAATATACACAAGAACACACAGAATGAAGACTGGAATAAAAACACTACGATGTCAGTAGTTATGTCCAGATGATGTTCGTTTTAGTTTTGGGGACTTTTGTTTTAAGTAAGAACAGTTTATTGGACTGGATCATTTAGGTAATCAACGGAACTTGTTTAGAAAAATCAGATTATAGCATACTAAGCAGAAAATAAGAGTGAAAAAGGGGGAAAGGCATTCAAAAAAAGAAAAAGTGTAGTAAGATCAGGTGATTTTATTAACCCCTACTAGAAGGGACCTTTTTGTATTAAAAAATCCTCTCCTTTATCCGGCTCAGTTTGTTTTTTGACAAATAATTCATGCTTGCTCCTTAAGTTTTGTTGTTTTGTATAAGCATTTAGTCTTAACGAAACTGTCATTGACATATTTTCAGTTGACTGTAGCAGATGCAACTTGTAGCTGAAGAAACCTACATTCTCCTCCCAATCTTCGCTGATTAACTGTGGTAGTTTGCTCAGATTCTTTTTCGCTTTAGTTACCACATGGGGCAAATACTACCTCACGAGGTTGTAATGAGAATCAAATGAGAAAGTGTAGTGTGTAAACACACTTTATAGAATTAAACACGACGCAGTTGTAAAATCACATTATTTTTCTTGTGTTTCCTTCTGCCCAAAGTTCTTAGTTGTAAAACGCAGTCATTTCATGAAAGAATGTATTCCCCTTAATGAGAGTTCAAAAGTTGAGGTTTATGAAGGAATGCAACTTTTTTCCAGTCCAGTTCTGCAGATGTTGCATTAACAGTTGTTGAGGTGCGGGTTGTGCTTGCCGTGCGTCATTAGTAATGCTGACCAAGGAGTCGTTGCTTTCT